AAATAACTCTAGACCCAATTGTTTTAGATATGGTTTAGTGTGAAAATAATCAAATTAAGTTTATCAAGATGAATTCTGTTTAAAATATTGATATCGGCTTTTTTTTTAACGTTATTTTTTTAAATGGCAAATCAATCTCTTTTGTTGGTGACACAAAAATTATATTTTAATTTTTACCAGCTTAAAATATAGATAAGAGTTAATTGAATTTTACGATATAATTCACGTGATTGGTATCATTAAGTTTTATTTTTAATATAATACGCATTATACTGTATATATTTATATTATACAATGAGAGAATTAATAAATTATAATATTAAATTATAACATAATGATAGATTAATATGTTTGTGAATTAAATTATCGAAAGTCTCTCATGACCTTGGACAATTTTTCACCAACCACCATATGTTCAACTTTGCTAACCCTTGAACTTTTGATCAAATTATCTTCACTCATGACTTGTTCATAGTCATCAAATTCATCCTTCATTTGGTCATCATCATCATCATCATCATCACTTCGAATTTCTCGGAGATGCATTAAATTTGAAATATTACTTGGAGCCCATAGATAATCACATAAATGCTTTTGCTCTACTGATGATAATATATCTCTTAATAATATAGATAATGGCTCATCTAACGATTCATGAAGGACTATTGATGAAGATGATAATTCATTTTCTATTTTCGATGATTTCATATTTAAGGATAATGAATCATTTTTAAATGATCTAATATGTAAACTATGGAAATGAGCATGTTCGATTTTGATTACATTTAATATACGAAGAGTAAAGTCAAGACATTGAGGAGAAGTAATTAATTTAGATCCACCAAGTTGATTAATTGAATTAAAGACAGAACTAAAATGTTTAATAAATGGAAAACATCTATTATCATCTCTGGCTTCCAAAGGAAATTTTGTGCATAATCGTTTCGATGTTATTGAATATGATTCAAATTTCGATATCCATGTGTTAAGTAATTGAATATTATCAAATTGTGATGGTGGTTGAGATAACATGGGAAAAGGATAAGAAGAATGTGATAACACTAAAGAAGGATTTATTGTCGAAAAGGTAGGCGATGTAGGTGAAGTTGGATCATTTAGCGCCGGCGGTGGAGATGGTAATGGTTTATTAATATCATGATGAAAAGTAGAAGGTGTCGTGGATAATTGTTTTGGATGTAATGGAGTAATAATTTCATTATCATATTGAGTTTTTG